TGCTCAAAACTGGACTAACCAGTAGGCCGAGTCATGACAAATATCATATCAGCAGCAGTCCTACAATAACCACTTATCATGAAATGATCACTCAAACACAGCCCAAAAATTATACAGCAAGGTAACAGCAATATATCTTACAAAACATCAATATAATAAAATAAGATTTGCACCATTTAACTATTATTTCATATCACTACAAATGGTTTGCCTGTCACGACAAAGAGTAAAATCAAAGTTTTGCATGCCGCTATTGCTGCTTCAAATCAATTTGTATGGTCAAAATATACATTTCTATGTTGAACATATCAAACAACATTCCATTTGGAAGAAAGATGACATTTTGTATTTCTGAATGGCTGTCATTTCAGTTAGCAAGGACCGGCTGTATGGATGGAGATATTGGGCCATGTCCAGATTAAAATACATCAAATTTCTCAGAAGTTCAGTTAGTTACACAAGATAGGAGAGTAAACTTGCCAGTAAACAGGTAATAAGCTATCCAGTGGCACTGCATTTAAGTATTAGCCCAAAACTTAACATTCCTCCAAAATACTATCCACCATACAGTCATACAGAATCACACTGACTCCTATATTACACCAATATTGCATCAAGATCAAATGAGTTGAAAAATTTTTCATCTGTGCGAAAAACAGTGCTTATGTACATCTTTGGATTTTCTACACCAAAACACTCTCATCAAATAAGCTGAGAAATTCGGAACAGTTGTTACCTATCTATATTAAACCAATATTGCATCAAGATCAAATGAGTTGAGAACAATTTTAACTGTGCCAAAACAGTGCTTACGTAGTACATCTTTGGATTTTCTACACGGAAACACTCTCGTCAAATAAGCTGAGAAATTCTGAACTGTTGTTACCTATCTAATAGATATTAAACCAATATTGCATCAAGCTCAAATGAGTAGAAAAATTTTCAACTGTGCCAAAACAGTGCTTACGTAGTACATCTTTGGATTTTCTACACCAAACACTCTTGTCAAATAAGCTGAAAAATTCAGAACAGTTGTTACCTATCTAAATTAAACCAATATTGCATCAAGATCAAATGAGTGGAAAATATTTCAACTGTGCCAAAATAGTGCTTACGTAGTACATCTTTGGATTTTCGACACCAAAACACTCTCGTGAAATGATCTGAGAAATTCGGAACAGTTGTTACCTATCTCTCTGGCTGCTCCATCTACTAAAGTTAAGCATGGCTTCCCGTCTGCGGGCTCTGTCCATCCACCGTGCTCAGCCTCCGTCAGTACGTCTGCCATGATTGGTCGGGATGCAAAGGAATGCGCGGGGAAGGCAGGTTTTATATGATAGAGTGTCTGTCAGCCCGGGGTGCAGCACTGAGAACCTTGGCACTTGAGGCCTGATTGATGCACACCTCTCCTAAGAGCTAGGACAACACGCTGAGAGGAATAACAAATGGGCACCAGTATCGGCCCCACTACACTTGATAGATGGAACCAATTGACTGCTGCATTCCTCCCCAAATCAGAATATTACAAGTTTCAGCCAAGTCCTAAGGCGTAGCCAGTCAGCATGGATTTCTTCAGTCAAGAACTTGGAAGAAAATAAGTAGCAGAAATACATAACGGTATCCACCTAGACGTAAATGGGATTTTCTGGTTATCAAATAACTGACATGAAAGGTTTCTATTTGTGGCCATTGTTGAAACTTGAAATGCTGAAATCCTGGAAGATACAGCACAGAATCTACTAATGTATAGCAAGGTCACTGCTACAACCAAAATAGATAACTGCAGCAAATACATTTTGTGGGCCTCAGGTTGCATGAGGACACAGTGGTCAAATCTGCATGCTAGACATCCTGGAAGAACTGTTTCTTGAGCTATGGATGGCAAAGGAGCACCAAAGACTTTTGCCTAACTTAGACTACAAGATAGGTAGCGCTACATGACATGGTGTATGATGCCCAGGACTGATTCTTCTAAAGCCAAAAGTTGAACATTGTGTGCAAACGTTTCCTTGTCATCACGTTAGGAAATAATCTTAAAAAGTGTCGGGTTTTGGCTCATCAGTAACATTCACAAATACGCTTGATGAACACTGAGGACAAAGCTATCTCAATTTTAACCTGTACCTGAGTATGAATTGGCACCAAAACTAGTGGGAATAAAGGTACTAAAATTGAGATTGAAGTAAACTTCTTCAGTATGTATCATTCGTTCACAAC